GCACGCCCCCTACTGTGGATGTGCCCGCAACCAAGGTACATGCCCTTGACCGGAATCGAACCTGGGACCCTTGAGTCTGCAGGCCGGTGCTCTATTCACTGAGGCAAACCAGTCAGGGCTCAATGCTGAATTTTTAAAAAGATAGTACAGCACTAACCGGCTTGGCTCCGTGGATAGAGCGTCGGCCTGCAGACTGAAGGGTCCCAGGTTCGATTCTGGTCAAGCAAGGGCATGTTGGTGGCAGGCACATCCCCAGTGGGGAGTGTGCAGGAGGCAGCTGGTCGATGTTTCTCTCTCATCGACGTTTCTAACTCTCTATTTCTCTCCTTTCCTCTCTGTAAAAACTCAATAAAATATATTTAAAAAAATAAATAAAAATAAAATAAAATGAAAGACTAGAAGGAAATATGCCAAATGTTCCAAGTGATTGGTTGGGGGGCGGGGGGAAGGGGTGGATGAAGAAAAACAGGAATGATTTTTCTGTAATTTTCTTAAGTGAGCATTATTCCTTTATGATACTGAAAAAAATGAACAAAAAAACTGAAAACACTTTTGAGTTAAGTACCTTATAACTCTTTCTTAGAAAAACTAGCCCTAACTGGTTTGGCTCAGTGGATAGAGCGTCGGCCTGTGGACTGAAAGGTCCCAGGCTCGATTCCGAACCGGTCAAGGGCATGTTCCTTGGTTGCTGGCACATCCCCAGTAGGAGATGTGCAGGAGGCAGCTGATTGATGTTTCTCTCCTATCAATGTTTCTAACTCTATATCCCTCTCCCTTCCTCTCTGTAAAAAAATCAATAAAACATATTTTTTTAAAAAAAGAAAAACTAAATTAATGTGCTGTAATTGGTGTGTGCATTTCACTGGCCCTTGAAAATGGTCTTCTCGTTCCCCCAGGACACTAGGCTGTAATATTCATCACCCTCCAATGGGAGGCAGTAGCCTCCTGTCCCCCTCCTCCCTTCCGAGAGAGCTTGGCGGCAGGGCCCCACTTACTGTTGTTTCAGTGGAGCTGCAGGGCCTCTTGGGCACCAGGCAGTGGGTGAACTGAATTCTCGGGTCTTTGGTGGTGATGGACAGGCCTTTCTGCAGAATTTTCACCAAGCGGATCCAGAACTGAAACACGGCCTCCGGGTGCTTTTCGTGGAGCTTCATGTAGTAGATCTTCTCAGTCACTGTCCTAATCCGCAGGATGCGCTGGAGCCGGTCACAGATTCGTAGCTCCACAAACTTCAGGGGGAGAATCCTGGACACAAGCAGGAAATTGCCATAGTGCAGGAGCCCAGGATTTGAATCCATCATGCCGGTGCCTACCTGCCTACCGAGAGCTTGGCTCAGCCTCCCTGGGCTCCCGCCTCTGCGTGGGGAATGCACAAGGGAGAGGGCTGGCGGATGAGAGTGGGATGATGACAAAGCCTGGCTCTTCTCTGATGCCCAGGGCCTTAGTTATTAAAGAATCTGCCCACATCAATAACAAAGACTGATAACTGATGTAGACTACAGTTTCTAATCCTCACAACAACCCTTGATGAAGAAAAGATAAGTATTATTAATTCCATTTTACAGATTTTTTTAAAATCTGAGACTTAGAGAAAGAAGCTAAGTGATTTGCCCAGGATATTTAGATATTTTTAAAATTTATTGATTTCGAGAGAGAGAGAGAGGAAAGGAGAAACATCAGTTTGTTGTTCTACTTATTTATGTATGTCATTGGTTGCTTTTTATTTTGGTTAATCCTCACCAGAGGGTATTTTTTCCCATTGATGTTAGAGAGTGGAAGGAAGGGAGGTAGGAGGGAAGAGTGGAAGAAAGAGGAAGTGTGAGAGAGGTAGAAAGAGAAACATTGATGTGAGAGAGACACATTGATTGGTTGCCTCCCTCATATGCAACCCAGAGATTCAAACTCGAGACCCTCTTCCTGGGCCAACACTCTGGCAGCTGAGTCATATTGGCCAGAGCAATTGGTTGCTTCTTGTACGTGCCCTGACTGGGAATCAAATCTACAACCTTGGGGACATATCAGGATGATGTTCTAACCAACTGCTACCTGGCCAGGGCTGCCCAAGTTTAGATCTTTTTTTTTACAAAAATATTTATTTAATTTTATTCCACTTAGATCTTAAGTAGGAACTGGGACTAAGATATTCTGACTCCATTCCCAGGTCTCCTTTGCCCTGTATCCTGATTAACTCTGTTGAAAGAGTAAGAAGGGTAGATGTCTTCTGTACACCCCGTATTATTTTTTCCATCTCAACACCTCTTAATCCCATTTGGTTTTCATGCACCTCATTTTTTTTTTAAACCCTCCTACGTTTTTATTGACAAAATGAAAGCCAAAATCCTCAAAAACTAGGCTGAGACAGACTGATACTCTACCCACAGCACCAAACACGGTGCTTGGTCTGTATAGATAGGCAGTAATACCTTTTCAATGAATGAATGAGGTTCTGCACAGTTTGTACACTAAAGAACACTGTCCTTTCTTTTTATCTACAGCCCGATTGCAAGACAGTGCCGTCTGTCATCCCACCCTCTCCAGCCCTTCCCTGAGGCCTTTCTTACCTGCTGAGGGTGATGACAGGAGCACAGCCAGGTGTGTTGCGGGTGGAAAACTGACCCTGGGGCCAGGTGACGTTGGCCATCAGGAGGATGTTGGGGAGCGGCAAGGAGGGCACTGAGGAGGTTACCCCAAGGATCACGGTGGTGGTAGACCCTTCAGGGACATTCATCCAGTCCCCAGACTTAGTGACCTAGAAATCAGCCCCAGGTTCTTGGGTCAGAGAAGCAGAAGACAAGAGTGGAAGGATACAGATGCTAGAAAGCAGTACTTTAAGAAAAAAAATGCCTGTGGCCAGTGTGGCTCAGTGGTTGAGCACCAACCCATAAACCAGAAGGTCACATGCCTGGATTGGGGGCTTGATCCCCAGTAGGGGGTGTGAAGGAGGCAGCTGATTAATGATTCTCTCTCATCTTTGATGTTTCTATCACTCCCTCTGTCTGAAATCAATAAAAAAATATTTTTAAAAACAGAAAAGATAAAGCAGCACTTCAACTTAGTGACAAGCTTGGAGCACCTGTGCCTCCTGCAGGCCCTACACTGGGGATCGAGTCCACCACTGGGGCATGTTCCCTGACTGGGAATCGTACTGTGATCTCCTGGTTCATACATCGATGCTCAACCACTGAGCCACGCTGGCTGGGTGCACCTGTGATTCTTACATGTGTCCAGTACACCGGGCTGGGCCATGACCCGCATCACCTTTTTTGTGGATCTCCCCAAGTAGACAAGCTCATTGCATTAGGAACGCTGTGCTGTCCTTTTTCGAGTCCTCTGCATCATCTAACTTTAGAAAGGATGCACTAGTAAGAAAAAGCTGAGGGGCACGAACATTTTATTCTTCCATCCTTGGGGAGAAGAAGCCAGCACAGGTTTCTAATGGTCTGGAAGGGAAATTGTGCAAAGAAAGTTCCAGAAGGGGAGGAGAGAGAGGAAAACCCCATACTACTATAGGCACAAACAGGGGAACTTGAGACCCAGATCCTCCGGTATCACTAGCTGGCATGGCTTCTTCCTCCTCCCCAGGGCTTTAAAGGCCACAGCATTTCTGGACCGAGTGCTGGAGACAGGTTTTGGAAAGGGAAAGCGCCGGCTCTGAGCTGCACGTGGGTACCTGGATAAAGTTGCTTTCAAATACCGCAGAGTGGGAGAACAAGTTGAATTCTGGAGAATGAATCAGTTGACAAAGAAGGCCATCTTCCACCCCAAGTTCCACTCCAGGGCCTGGTTCCCGGACCTCAGGAGGGAGGCCCCTGATTTTATTCATTGCCTCTTCGGAAGAATGGGCTGGGGAACATCCCTGGGGCTCCACACAGACCCAGCCCGACTGCAAGATGTTGTGTGACCACAGCTGCCCACCCCCCACCTCCACAGCTCCTCCTCTCCAGGCTGTCCTCCAGCCGGGAGGGCCGGCCAGGGGCCGGCTCACAATGGCAGGAATGACATCAGGAATGTGGTGGCAACAACAGGAAAGGAAAAAAAGAGGAAAGGACAAATCAGGGAGGAGCAGGCTTTTCTCTCCCTTTTCTTACTCACTGCAAACGAGTGGTAATGAAGCTTATTCCATTTTTCACTCAATCTCCCCGAAAACATGAGGAAAATGAGCCTGCCAAGGTTGTGCCTAGACAGCAGTGAGCTGGCCAGACAACAAGGAAGGCTCTCCGGGAAACCACAGCCTTCCATCTTCCCCATCACAGGGAAGCTTCTCACAACTTGCTCGTACTCGTGCCTGCATAAGAGTAACCTCAGGGGTGAAACGCGCATTGTGGACGCATTCTGTTATGCTGCATTCCGAAGAGTCCATGAAAAAGGAAAAAGAAACCGTGATGTTGAAGAAAGGGCTGCATATTGGGACTGGACCACCAATGAGTTCAGTGATGTTGTCTAAGTCACGGCGTTTCCTTCTGTTTCCTCTGTAGTAAAATGAAAAGGTGGCACCAGAGTTAAGGCCTCACGTTAATAATCAATAGAGATTTAAAATTCATACTTGGAAATATCGGAATGTGCTGTTCCCTTAAGCAGATGTAGTGAAGGTGAGGGAATTCCCTTGATTAGGGCCCCATTCTGCTTCATGGGAGTGTGCCGGAAGCCGGTCCATCCTTGCTGCTTGACACAGTCACTGCAGGGAAGAAATATCTGCACAGCATATGTTTCAAGGGACCTGGCGTATATAGCATACTGTTCTTAATATGTTTGCTCCCCTTAGCGCTGTGTAATGGATAGGATTAAAATCAACTGGTATAAATACAGATGTAACAGGAGAATAAAGACAGAACCTGGCTGGAGAACCTGACTAGAGAGCCTGGCTATGCTGATCAACTGAACGCTGCTGCCTCCGTGTCCTTCCTTCTTCGCCGACTCCGTCCACACCTTTGGGAACCCCTGGACCTGTTGGGGCTGGACCCCGGCAGAAGTTCATCCTTAGGCAACTGTTTTAAACTACTGAGATTTTAGGGTTGTTGCTGCAGCATAACCTAACCTAGCCTGTCCTTGACTGATACGGAGATTGGAATGTAGAGGGTAGTGTTGCAATAAAAATAAAAAAACATAAAAAAAATGCACCACAAAACCCTAGTATGTGTGACTAACTTATCTGGAAGGCAGCAAAGATATTTTTTTGGAAGCTGGAAAGATGGCAACCCATCTTATCCAGTAGCAGAGTATTTGATAAAACCGTTGCCTGCAGTAACTTACAAGGCATATGTTAATCTAATTTATCTACAATTAGGAGAACAAGTTTTAGCAGCTTGAATTGAATACTGGCCCTAGCTGGTGCTCAGTGGTTAGAGCATCCACCCGAGCATTGAGGGGTCTTGGGTTCGATTCCGATCAAGGGCACGCACCTCGGTTGCAGACTCGACCCCCAGCCCTGGTTGGGGTGTGTGTGGGAGGCAACCAGTTGATGTGTCTCACATGTTGATGTTTCTCTGATTCACCCCTTCCCTTCCACTCTTTCTAAAAATCAATGGGAAAAATACTAGTATCCTCTGGTGAGGATTAACAAAAACAAAACAAAACAAGAGAATCGAATACTGTTGGTTGCTATTGACAAAGCGCCACAAGACGAGCTCAGAGAGAAACCGACGAGAGCTTGCAAGCAGGCACAAGGGATCTAGAGAGACTACAGAAAATCAGTGATCCTGCAGGGTTCAGAAGCAACTGTCTCTCATCCCTCACTGGGAATAGATAAAATTCAGAAATGTTTGGGATGACAAACACCAATTCAAACTCAGTTTTGTAGGTAGAGAGACTGTCCTGGTTTGCCCAGAAGTGTCTCAGTTTTAGCACAAGTCCTGCATCCCAGAAAATACCCCTGGCTAGGCAAACAGGGACAACGACTTGTAGGAAAGATTAAAACAATGGTCTGGCCATCACGTCTGTTGTTGAAACCTCTGAGCAAATTATTTAAGAGCAGCAATTTTCAACGGTTGTACCTTGGCACACTGGTACACCACCAAGGAGTTTTAAAACATGCCATACCGCCCTAACCGGTTTGGCTCAGTGGATAGAGCGCTGGCCTGCAGACTGAAGGGTCCCAGGTTCTATTCCGGTCAAGGGCATGTACCTCGGTGTGGGCACATCCCCGGTGGGGGTTGTGCAGGAGGCAGCTGATATTTCTCTCTCATCGATGTTTCTAACTCTCTGTTCCTCTCCCTTCCTCTCTGTAAAAAACCAATAAAATATATTTTAAAAAAACAAAAACAAAAAATGCCATACCTATTTTGTCAGGGGCATTGACCTCTTTTCCCTTCGATTGTCAAATAAAGAAATGATAGCAGCCAACACAACAATAGCTGTCCAGTGTAAATGAATAAAAGTTATACTTTTTTTTTTTCAGGTCAGCAAAAAATGTGTTTTTTGAGTTGTTGCAGAATTTTAGTCATTAGTTTACATGTACCACGAAATGAGAAAGATTGAAAATCAGTGTTATCTATTTTTTAAAATATATTTTTATTGATTTCAGAGAGCAAGGGAGAGGGAGAGATAGAAACATCAATGAGAGCGAATCATCGATTGGCTGCCTCCTGCACGCCCCCTACTGGAGACTGAGCCCACAACTCAGGCATGTGCCCTTGACTGGAACTGAACCTGGAACCCTTCAGTTCACAGGCTCTATCCACTGAGCCAAACCAGCTAGGGCTGAAAATCAGTTTCAGAGCAAAAGCCTGGATATGGTTGTGGCACCCAGGAAACCATTCCAATTAAACTAAACTGCTTGGGGAAGAGACGTAAGGTATAGCTAGCTCCCCAGTTAACAGTTCAAAATACCTCAAATTAGTCAGAAGCATCTGAATGAGAAAATACATCGAAGTTAAGAAAATGTCTAGTAAGGACAGCGACTGGCATATGAAACTGCCTGAAGTCAGAGACAAAATACCAACTATATGTTTATGTACTACGCTACCAAACAAGTCCAGCTGGTCACCAAGGACCAGGGACTGGAAAGCTGAAAATTGGAAATACAGTGGAACCTCAGTTCTTGAACTTAATTCATTTCCGAAGGCTGTTTGAGAATGATTTGTTTGAAAACCAAATCGTTTTCCCCCATTAGAAATAATGTAAAGTGAACTAATCCTCTCCGGGCTCTCAAATGATTCAGTTTTAACCTTTCTTATGTACATGTCTAATGTACTGTTTAACCTATAAACACTTTTTTCCTTAAACTTATTGAACCACATCCTACTAGCCTTACACAAATTTTTCATATATCCCTGCCTCCCAGCTGCTTTTCACTTATCCAATCAACAAGTTTTCCTACCTATTCATTTGCCTGTACGTAATTGCTGTTTTGTGAGCACTTTTCACACCCTTAGCAACATTAGTACTCTTGATGGCCTCTTTATGTTTTAGTTGTGCTAATCCTCAATTTCTGCCAGCAACAAAAGGATTACCTCCTTTGTCTATTGCCTGAGAGATGCTTTTTGTCATGCTGTTTTTTTTGTCATGCTGAGGGATCAGTATGAAAGGGCTGTTAGGTCAAAAATTAAGTTTTGGTCTACAACTGAGATTTTTTTTCTTTTTCTGTGAACACTTGGTCAAGAACTGACTTGTTTGAGACTGGAGACATTGGAGAAGCAAGGTTTGACTATACTTGATAAACAGCGCTAATGACTACCCCAGTACAATAACTGTTGCCTAAGCCATCGGCTTACAGGGTAGTGGCGCTTAAGCTTAAGAACACTCAGGGAGCAAAACTGGTTTGGCAGAAGACACCATGCTCCATTTTTACCGTTTGGCAAAAGTAAATCAAACGCACCACATGTAAATTGACATGCACACCTAGATAAGAGCGGGCACACCTTATTTTATCGCACTTCACTGAAGTTTTTTCTTTTCTTCACAGATGTTATCAACATCTAGACAAGACCCTCTATCAACAAAAAGGTTGACTCCCTAAAGGCTTAGACAATAGTCAGCATTTTTTAGCAATAAAGTATTTTTCTAGTGTTTTTATTTATTTTAGAGAGGGGTAGAAACATCAATGCATCAACATCAACACTGATTTGCTGCCTCCTGCCTGCCCCCTGTTGGGGATCAAGCCCACAATCCAGGAATGTGCCCTGACCAGGAACTGTGACCTCCTGGTTCATAGGTCAGCGTTCAACCACTGAGCCATGCCAGCCAGGCTAACGTATTTTTTAAGATATATACATTGCTTTTTAAACATAATGCTATTATACTTAATAGACTACAGTACAGTACAATCATAACTTTCATATACACTGAGAAACTAAAAAATTCATCTGATTTGCTTTATTGGTAATCTGGAACCCAACCCACAAAAATTTGAGATATGCCTCTATTTACCATAGGAGAGGAGTGGACATGCTTCAACATGGGGTGGGGATGGAAGAGTGATAGGTAGAACAGGCTAAACTGCTTAGACCTGGAAAAGAGCAGAAACAATCATCTGTGAGGTATGGCTATTGAAAACTTTTTGATTTAGAGAGGGAGGGAGGGATAGAAACATCGATGGGTGACAAGGGGACAAATAAAAACACTGATCAGCCGTCTCCTGCAGGCCCCCTACTGGGGATCCCGGAAACCCGGAATGTGCCTTGACCAGGAATCTGAACCAGTGGCCTTTTGGAGCATGGGGTGACGCTCAACCCAGCCAGGCCCACAGGGTGAGGTGTAGCTATTTTACCAGCCTACCTGAATAATCAGAATTGAGTAGCCATTCTGGTGGACAAGGTACAGAATAAAAAAGCCAAGCCTGCCCTGGCTGGTGTGGCTCAGTTGATTAGAGTGTCATTCTGTGCACCGAAAGGTGGTGGGTTCAAGCCCTGGTCATGCTGGAGGCAACTGATGTTTCTGTCTCCCCTCCTCTCTCTAAAATCAATCAAAAAAAATTTTTTTAAAGGCCAAGGCCTTCTGCTCTTCTGGCCCCATGGTCTCCACGCCTCTGCTCCCGCTCTCCCTCCCTCCCCCGACTCCTCCCTTTCCTCCTTCCCCTCCTCCCTTCTCCTGTTCTACTCCCTCCACCTAGTCCAGTCGCCCACCTCTCAGCAGCCTTTCCCCAAGCCCTACCCTCCTGCCCCTCCCTTCCCTCTAAAAAAAAAAGCCCAAGGCCTTCTGGGCTGATAGTCCTCTTTCCCCCAGAGACTGAAGATGAAGGGGTGGGAAGGAATCATTTTTCTTTAGAGACAGAAAGAGTCAAGAGAGTAGTCAGCCAGTGTGGCTCAGTTGTGTTGACCTATGAATCCGGTTGATTCCCGTCTGGTTGCTCAATCCCCAGTGGGGTGGTGGTGGTGGTGGTGGTGGTGTAAGAGGTAGTTGATCAGTGATTCTCTCATTATTGATGTTTCTATCTCCCTTCCAATTTTTTTAAAATATATTTTATTGCTTTTTTTACAGAGAGGAAGGGAGAGGGATAGAGAGTTAGAAACATCAATGAGAAACATCAGCTGCCTCCTGCACACCTCCCACTGGGGATGTGCCTGCAACCAAGGTACATGCCCTTGACCAGAATCGCAGTCCATAGGCTGATGCTCTATCCACTGAGCCAAACTGGTTAGGGCTCTCCCTTCCTACCTTAAATCATAAAAACATATACATACATATTTTTTGTTTTTAAGAGAAAGGAGTCTTGGCTTAAGCTCCGACAACTATGGATACAGACCCAACTGCCCCTGCCTTCAAATTCAGAGGTTCATTTACCTGTTTTAAACCAAGTGTTTTAAGCACTTTCATGCTCCTAAATTTTAAGGTGTTAAACCTCAGATCTATGAATTAAGACCCTTCCCTAACCACTAATTTTAAGGGCAGAAATGAACATGACACACAGTGGAAATATGTATTCAATTTTATTTCATTAGAAAAATTCACTTACGCCACATGGTGGCTATAATGCCCACGTCCCGAGCAGGCTTCATCCCACTGTCCCCTTCAGACCAAGACATACACACTAAGCTGGAAGACTTAAAAATGTAAGTCGCCCCTCTTTAACTGTTACCCACACACAGAGGAGCTCACACAAAAGAGAAGCTAAACACAAAGAAACTGACCATAAGACACGCAGGTCCAAAGGAACGCTTCACCGATGTTTAGGAAGTAAGGCTGAAAACACCGTCATCTCCCAACAGCTGAAATCACAGCACAAACCCTCATCTAAGAGGTCAGAGCCACGCTGCCAAGGACAACCAAGCACACAGCAGACTCTGGGGAGAAGAGTGAAATCACTCCATTCCACAACCAGAGGCAACCCACTCACACCTGCCTATGAAGCAGTCTTTTTCCAGGGCAAGAAGCATCCAGATGGAAGGGCCCTTCCAGGGCCTAGTAACAGTTCTCTGCTAACATGGATGCTGGGCTTGCCTCCCCAGGAAACTGGGACACCAGGCTGGACAGGTGTAGGCCACGTGTTCCAAGGTTATAGCTGGTGGAGGGAGGTCTTATCACACCCCTCTGGATGGATGTTCTGGAAGGCTCTTGGGGATTCTGTGATGGCTAGTTGACCTCTGGTGGTCCAGGAGCTCCCAGGCGATGGGTTCTCCAGTAAGCCCCCCAGTGACTCCATCAGTCTAACAAAGATGGAAAGCAGGGTCAGCGCCACGCCTAAGAGATAGAGGTTAAATATTTGCTTCATAGCTGAAGGGATCCCACTCCTTTGCAGAGCAGTAGAGCTGCCTTCTGCTTCTGGTAGACTTCTGGGTCCTGAGGAAAGAGAGGCAAGGTTAGAGCCTTTTGGGATACGCAAGCATCTGGCCCTCACCCTTCTATCTTCCCGTGGAGCTAAGGGAGAAGCCCAGCCAGCCAGGACACAGGGACCCATGATGTTTTTCCATAGCAGAAGCTCAAGTATATTTACACCGTAAACTCCATGGCTGAGGAGCCAGGAGTTTCTTTTCACGAGCAAACTTTTACTTCTGAAAGTAAAAACCTTTACTTTCTTGCCAGGTGCAATGCACAATCCCTGTGCCACAGTCCAGGGACCAGAAACTTTCCTGAAGAACTGAGTCCTTTTGTAAGAGAAGGACTGTTGTAGGCAGTTAGACATGAGCAGAGAAAAGTAGATGGGCCAGGTACAGGTCACCAGGGTGGAAAGCCCCAGTTGCCTAGCAACACACAATCAATTGTAGGGTGGGCCCTGCCCCCAGGGTGACTTTTCCTCCCCTAGCATATATGGACCCTCCAGACCTTTCCTCCCTAGGGATAACATCTATGCCTCAGATAAGCAACAAAACCAGTGACTCCACTGGCAGGACCAGCTGCACTGAGAACCACCCCTGCCCTGGGCCTGCCAATCAATCAGTGGAGAACACAACCCAGAAAAGACACACCTGGAAAACTACTGAATATTCCGTTGCGATCTTCTCCTGGGACTTCCCTGAAGTCTCCACCCTAAAAACCCTTAGTAGGGAGTACCCAGTGGGCTCTCCCTCCAGGGAGCACTCCCTGGCCTTTCCCTTCCCTTCCCCATTCTCCCTCCTTGCCCAGGCAGTAACCATTAGCTTCCTCACTCCTAAGCTCCTTTAGCTCCTAACTCATTTCCTAAACTCATTTCTTCGAGGAATTACTTCTTCTACCTCTATGACTTATCAAATACTCTAACAGTTTGGTTCTTGGCTCTGAATTCTTTCCAAGGCGGAACCCAAGTACTGAGGTTGCTGATCCCAGGTTTGGTCGGACCCCACGGGTCAGACGCCGGGTGCCGTCCTCAGGCCTACACCGGGGCTATCAGAACGTGTCCTAGCCAGGCAGGTGTGGCTCAGTGGCTGCGGGTCGACCCATGACCCAAGAGGCCACCGGCTCAATTCCCAGGCAGGACGCATGCCCGGGTTGCCACTCAACCCCCAGTAGGTGGTGTGCAGAAGGCAAGAGACCTTTGATTTTTCTATCTCTATCGCTCTCCCTTCCTCTCTCTAAAAGAAATCAATAAATAATAATAAAAAAGGAATATGCCCTTGAGAAAGCAACTTGCCTGGGAAGTCTCCCTCATATCTCATTAAGGTTCGAGTTAATCATAAGCTTTTTGAAGGTCAAAATAATTCTAAGTCAATCTATCAAGTTCACTTAGTAAAAATAATACCCTGATTACCCCCAACTTGCTAAGCACTCGGGAAGGTACGAGGGCCACACGGGGCCCCGGAGCCGTGAACCCTGCCCTCTCGGGGTTTTAGGGGCAACAGGCAAGAACCTCGGCAGTGGCGCAGGAGGTGCCAGGGTGCTTTGGGAGAGCATGGCAGCGACGCCTACTCACCCAGCACCGGGAGCACGGACCTGGGCCACCTGCATCCCAGTGAGGGCCCCTCCTGGGGAACGCAGGGCTGGAGCGCTGAGTGGGGAGCGGGCGGGAGCACAGGGAGGAGGGGAGCCCCAGAAGGCCCTGCCACAGTCAGGGGAGGGAGGCGGCGG